GACGGTAATAAATGACCCTTTCCCAACAATAGCTAGCCCCCTCAAGATCCTGGAAATCTTGCTTCCAAATTCCTTAGAGACTCACACTATCCCTAACCCCCTTTCAACTTCAAAGTATATAATCAGCCACTCCTCACGACCCCAGTACGGCTCTTTCTGCCCACGGGTCCTGTCCCCGTGCTTTAATAAAACCACCTTTTTGCACCAAAGACGTCTCAAGAATTCTTTTTTTTTTTTTTAAGATTTTTTTTTTTAAATTTATTTGCGAGAGAGAGAGTGAGAGACAGAGAGCATGAGAGGGAGGAGGGTTAGAGGGAGAAGCAGACTCCCTGCCGAGCAGGGAGCCCGATGTGGGACTCGATCCCGGGACTCCAGGATCATGACCTGAGCCGAAGGCAGTCGCTCAACCAACTGAGCCACCCAGGCGCCCCTCAAGATTTCTTTCTTGGCCATCAGCTTCGAACCTTAACATCTTTCCTACATCAGCCAGGGCCTGGGGGGGGGGGGGGGGGCGGTGAGGCTGACCCCGACCTGCCCCAATTTGCTGGGCCTAGCAAGCCTTTCATGGTCCCAGAGTAAGTCGCTCAGGAGGCCTACTATGTTAGTGGGTGTTTGGTCCTCTGTCTCCTAGAGGATGGCTTCCATCTTCTCTAGTGTTCACTGGGAGTGACATGGAGAGGGCTCAGCACAGATGCTGGCCTGGCTTAGCCCCAGCTGGCCAGAGAGATGCCAGGCTTCCCACAATCCTCATCTTGGGCCAAGATGTTCACTCAGGGCCACCCAAAGTGGACCACTAGCTGGGCCGTGGGAGCACATGAGGACTGGCCAGGGTCTGAAGGAAGGACAGGAACTGGGTCTTGTCGCCAAGGCTGGCAGGGGTGAGTAACTGACCTGGGCAGGGAGGGAAGGAGTGAGAACGAGGGAGGCGTGGAGTGGGGGCTCAGGCACAGGCTGCTTCTCGGGTTTACATGAGCGAGGACAGAGCTTGGGGACTGACCCACCCAAGTTCCGTCACATTCCATGGACAGCCTCAGTCCTGGGCCAGTGGCGGGGTGGCAGTCACCCTACTTAGCAGAGTCTGGGACGTGGTCACCTGGTAATGGCCCTCCACCTGGTCTAAAGGGTTAACTTGCTTCAAGCTTATGCACCTCTCGCTTTCTGACCCAAGTCAGAAAGCTAACACGCCGCCTTCTCCATCAACTCCTAAAGGCAAAAGCTGAGAGTGACCTGGAAAGCCCACCAGGAGTTCAGTTTCCCCATGTATTCTGGGCCCTCCATACAACTCTTACTTGCCCTTGATCTGGTCTCCTCCACAAGAGACTTCCTTGGAGGAGTGGGGGTAGGTCCAAGTCAGGCCCCACAGCACAGAGAAAAGTCAATAAAACAAGTCAACACAAAAATAATCTAAAAAGTAAAAGGTGCCAGGAAGAACTAAGCAGAGGGGACTTGAGAGAGCTCTCGGGGCTGCTTCAGCTGACGTGGTCAGGGAAGCCTCTCTGAGGAGCTGATGTCAGAGCGGAGGCCCCATCTGCCATCTGGGGCAAGGATGTTCTGGACAAGGCAAAGACTCATCCATGTTGTAATTCAGGGTCCGTGAACTACATCCTGAAGGCACAATACTGCCTACTTTGATAAATAATGTTTTATTGGAGGGGTGCCTGGCTGGCTGGCTCAGTCAGTAGAGCATGCAACTCTCAATCCCAGGGTCATGAGGTCAATCCTACATAAAGAAAAAAAAAAGTTTTACTGGCACACAGCCGACCCTGTCTTTCTGAGCATTGCTTATGACTGCTTTCGAGCTACAACAGCACAGCTGAGTAGCTGTGATAGAGACCACATGGCCAACAGAACCAAAAATATTCACCATTTGGCCCTTTGCAGAACAAGTGTTCTGGCTTCTGTTGTAGACGACGTTTTTTCCCTGGTGTAGAATATCGCACTATGTGAACAGAGCACAACGCACCCCTCCTTCTCCAATGAGTGTTTGGCTTTTCTGACAGTGGTGCCTGAGCATCCCGAAGTCGGGAGACGCTAGGTCCCAGGGTGTGCAGATGGTCAACTGAACTAGAAGATGCCAAATGTTTTCCAAAACTCAAATATCTTCAAATATTCCCCACAAAAAGTTTTCATATTTTGTGTTTGGCTTCAAGTCCCGGATTCATCTGGAGTTGATTTTTGAGTGTGATATGGCCACACCAGATCTTCCCACAACCCAAACAGTTCTGCTTCTTTTTAATGATATTTATTGATGTATAATTCACACAGCATAAAACTCAACCATTTAAAGTGTGTAGTTCAGGGCTTTTTAGCATATTCACAGGGTTTGCAACTATCACCACTAATTCCAGAACATTTTTATTACCCTAAAAAGAAACCCCATGCCTGTTGGTGCACTCTGCAGTCCTCCTCCTTCCAACCCCTGGCAATCACAACAGTACAGCTTCTAGCTAACTTATGCAGTGATCTACCTCAGTGTCATTTGGGACAAAAGTTTCTGCTGCTTACAAAATGTTTGGAAACCTGTGTCTGGTACCAGACTGCCTCCCAGTGTATCTAGCATTCAAGCTGCCTAGTGATGATGATGCCTTTCACTCTGGCTCTAGAAACAAACTAAGTGAATGTTCTCTCAAGGGCAATTTCCTGAGGTGCGTTGCAGAGTTATAAATGCATAAATAAGTCCAAAGGTTCAGGCCAATTTCAGCTACCAAGAAAATGAGCCAGGGAACTCATGTCACTATAAGTGCATAACTTGCAAGAAGGAGAATGATGAGCCCTCAGCACTTGGATTTTATTGTCCCATCTGTGGCTTCTGCACACAGCAAGCACCTGCTTGAATACAACATTCCAGGGACCAGCGTCCAGCAGGAGATGAGACAGATGCCCAGCCCTGACCACACAGCTAAGTAGCCCCTCTTGTCACTCCTGAGACTTTATATTTCCATGCCTAGTTTTATCTTTTCTAAGGCACTCATACTTCCAGCAAGCATCTGCCTTACTTGTTTACGGGGGCATAAACTGTGGGCCCTCCAAGGTCAAAGCCACATCAGTCCTGCTCACTGATGTGCTCCCCTCACTCTGCACCTAAACAGCACCTGGTAGGCACTGCTGTCCAGCGGAAACGGCATTCAGTCCAAAGCTCCTGGAGGTGGGGTTCCCATCTCCTTTGTTAGGTCCCCAATCCCACTCACATCCTCCTGCTACTGCATCTCAGCACTGGGCAGCTACAGCCACCCTGAGCCCAGTCCCAGAGCTGTGAAACCCCCTTGAATCATTACCTTGCCCCCAATCTGAATTTCAGATAAATAATAACTTTTTAGTATAAGTATATTCCAAAAATACTACTGGAATGTGCTTATACTAAAATATAGCATTAGTATTTAGAAGAGTATTTGGTATTAGAATTTGGTTTAAATATGTCCCAAATAGGGGCGCCTGGGTGGCTCAGTTGTTAAGCGTCTGCCTTCGGCTCAGGTCATGATCCCAGGGTCCTGGGATGGAGCCCCGGGTCGGGCTTCCTGCTCAGCGGGAGCCTGCTTCTCCCTCTCCCACTCCCCCTGCCCCTGGTTGTGTTCCCTCTCTCACTGTGTTTCTCTCTGTCAAATAAATAAACTCTTAAAAAATATATATGTCCCAAATATACCATTAGAACAAATAATAATAAGATACACTGTTCGTAATTAACATAGTATTTAGTATTATTATTTAGGTATATCCAAAATATACTATTGGGACATATTTATACTACAAAATTATTCATCTGAAATTCAAATTTAACTAGGACTTGTCCTATATTTTTATTTGCTAAATTTGGCAATCCTATTCTGACACATACATATATCAAAAATCAGTTATACTAAATGTAGTATCAGTAAAAAGATTTTAAAATATAATAAATATGGGACACACTTATACTAAAAAAGTATTTATTGTTTACCTGGAATTTAAATTCAGGTGGGCATCCTGCATTTTTATTTACCAAATCTGGCAACCTACTGTGGGACATAGCTACACCGAAAATTACATATACCACTACATATTTTCCAGGTTTTGAAAAATACACTAAATGTGAAACACTAATACTAAAAAACATCGTTGTTATCTGACATTCGAGTCCAACTGTGCCTCTTATATTACTTATTTGCGAAATCTGGCAATCCTATACTGGCACATATTCTACTAAAACAGACATATTTTATTATTTATTATTATTTTTTAAAAGATTTTATTTATTTATCTGAGACAGAGAGAATGAGAGAGACAGAGAGCACATGAGAGGGGGGAGGGTCAGAGGGAGAAGCAGACCCCCCGCCGAGCAGGGAGCCCGACGCGGGACTCGATCCCGGGACTCCAGGATCATGACCTGAGCTGAAGGCAGTCGCTTAACCGACTGAGCCACCCAGGCGCCCTGGTTGCAACATTCTTTTTATTTATTTATTTATTTATTTGAGAGAGAGAATGAGATAGAGCATGAGACGGGGGAGGGTCAGAGGGAGAAGCAGACTCCCTGCTGAGCAGGGAGCCCGATGCGGGACTCGATCCCGGGACTCCAGGATCATGACCTGAGCCGAAGGCAGTCGCCCAACCGACTGAGCCACCCAGGCGCCCGATGATTTAATTTTTTTTTAAGATTTTATTTATTTATTTGAGACAGAGAGAATGAGAGAAAGAGAGAGCACATGAGAGGGGGGAGGGCCAGAGGGAGAAGCAGACTCCCCGCCGAGCAGGGAGCCCGATGCGGGACTCGATCCAGGGACCCAGGATCATGACCTGAGCCGAAGGCAGTCGCCCAACCGACTGGGCCACCCAGGCGCCCTAAAACAGACATATTTTAAAAGCACCTTAACACACGAAACGTGAGACACTCCTACAGTGAAGCCAACAAACCACCGCGTTGATTAAACGCACTTTCTGGCTTCCGTCCGGCCGGGATGCTGCGGTGAGGGGGCCCAACCGCCTCGCTCAGGCAGCCCCGCCCGTCCTCCCGCCGCCGCCGCCCTCACCTCACTCGGACGCGGCGCGCCCCGTCGCCATGGCGCCCGGATCCGTCCTGGGTAACTCCGGGGGCACCGCGAGGGCCCAGATGCCCGTTCCGGGCGGCTTCCCATCGGCCCGCGCGGCCCGGTGCGTTTCTACTCCGTCCCCCGCGGGGGACGACTCTGCGCGCCTCTACGGGCCAATGGCGGCCGCCCGCGGCGCGCGGGGTTCTGGGAGTTGTAGTCCGCGCGGCGGCGGCCCGGCTCGCTCTCCAGCCGAGGCGCCGCCATGACGGAGCGGCCCTGGCCGGAGCGGAGCCCGCGCGCGGTGAGTCCGCCGCGGCCCGTCCGGCCGTCCCGCCGCCTGTCCCGCGGCCGTCCGTGCGCCCGCCGGACTGGCCGGCCGCGGGAAGGGGCCGCGGGGCGGGCCGAGGGCGTCGGAGTCGGCGGGCGCTGGCCGGGATCGCGTTAGAGGAAGCGCGGGGGGAGGCGCAGCCCGAGGCCGGCGGCGGGGCCGAGCCGGGCCAGGGAAGCCGTCGCGGGGCCGCGAGGCCCCCGGGGATGAGGGGGACGGGCGAGCCTCGCGGGCCTCGCGCGGGGGCCGAGGTGGAGGTGGGCAGGGGGCCGGGGCGCGCCGTTCCGCCCAGCCCCGGCCCGGGTGGCATCTCCCCTCCCCATCAGCCGGGGCAGAAGGCCCCTCCACCCCCGTCTGTGCGCTGCAGACCCCTCTCGGCCCAGGCCAGGCCCTCCCTCCCCCCACCGGCCAGCAGCCCAGAACCTGGCCGTGTGTCCGCGGCAGATCTCGGTGCCCAGCGCAGGTAAGCCTGGCCTGTCCACGTGGCTTTGAGCCCTGCAAGTGACCCTCAGAGACCCCCTGGCATCCATCCGGGTTACGCCCAGAGTGGAGCTCCAAGACCCAAGACCACGGTACTCCCGTGTAGACCTCACGCCCCCCCGCCCCCGTCGGCGTAAGATCCCGGCACCTTCAGGCCCCCGCGGCAGCCTGGGTCTCCCATTTGTTCCAGGTCCCCACGTGAGGACATCATCCCCCCACACGGGCCCCCTTTACCCCCTCGAGGTCCCCCATCAACTCCGCTTCTCCCTGCGTAGACTTCATCCCGGGACCCTGGAGGGTGCTGAGGGGCTGCGGTTCTTCACCGCGGAGAATCTGCCTGGGGCGCACTTCCCTGCTCACCGGAGAGAAGGGTAAGGTCTGAGATCCCGGAGCACAAGGACTGCTTGAGCCTGTGAAGCTGCGAGACGGGCCCTTTTCCGTTTTCAAAAGTACACGTATGGAAGTGTTACTACAGCGTAAGAGTATTTTTGCCTGTGGTCTCAGCAGGGGTGACGGAGCTTGTAAACGCGCAGTCAGGCTGCGGGCGGCAAGAAGCAGGCTCGAGGACTGCGGGCAGGGCACGGCCCTCGTGAGTCGCCCTCCCTGCGTCTGTACACCTCCCCTCCTGATTGTAAAACCCACACACGTGCACATGAAAAGCTCTCCAGAGGATCAAGAAGGAAACAGTCACACGGAATGCCCCTCCACTTTTCACTTGTCATAAGCATTTCCCATGTCATTAAAAATCCTTCCTAAATGTTTTTGTTCTTTTTTTTTTTTCTTCATGATGAAGGTCAAACATCAACATACCATTTGGGGGAGATTAAGGGAAGTATGAAGAACATAGCATTTGGCTGGCCGCCCTTGGGCCTTTCCCAGCGGCCCTTTCTGGGACGCTCATATATCATTTTACATCCCACTTTCCCCTGTACCTCATATCATCTGTATGTCGCGTCTGCTTCCCTTGAGCATGTTCTGTTACCGTGCATTTTGCAGTCATAAATTCTCCATGTGATGGGAGGGTAGTTGATCTCACCAGGCTTGACTGTTGGGCACTTTTGTTGTGATTCTTGGTGCCTAAATCTTTGTCCCAATTTCAGATAAATCCCACAGCATGCGAACTTCCAGAATGGTCTTGATATACAAGCTGCCATAGTCCTTTCCAGAAAGGTCGTGCCAGTTTGTACTTTCGCCACTGGATCAGCACACAGGACAAGTGTTTAAAAAAAAAAAAAATCTCATTTTTATTTTTACAACCTTGTTTTCTTCAGTTATATGTTCACTATGGGAAGCTTGGAAAATGCACAAAATGCTATTTTTTCACTGCCCTTCCCACTTTCTCTCTGTTTTTAAAGTCTCTTCCCCCCCCCCCTTGTCCTCCTTATCGCCTCCTCCCTCAGCCTTAACTTAAAAAAGGCAAGAAAGACAGCAGAGGCAGGGCAGGAGGCCCCTGTTGTGCTATTACATAGCATATCTGGCTGTTTCCATTTAAAGGGAATTTAAAGTCCAGTTCCTTATTTCAAGTGCTCAGGAGCCACATAGTAGCTGGTGCCTACCATGCTGGATAGCACAGATGGAGACCATTTCCAACCCCACAGGAAGTTCTGAGGGGCAGTGCTGGCTACTCCCAGGGCAGGAATCCAGTTCCCCTAGATGCTCAGTAAACCATGTGTTGAATGACTAAATGAGTGAAGGAGGCAGATGTATGCTAAGTTAAGGAAATGAGATACGTTCACAATGAGGTAAGAGTCGTGAAGACAGCACAACGAAGATGAGAAAAGGGTGATGGCCTGAGCCAGCGCATGGTGACATCCTGCTGTGGTGACAGCTGGGCTGGGAAGAACATCAGAGAGTAGTGTGGGTGGGAACAGCAGGTACAAAGGTCCTGGGGTGACCAGTGCCTTGTCTTCAACACGATGTAACCCATGAGGGTCATATGGAAGGAGATTAGGTCAGAATGAGATGGGGAGGGCTCAGGTCAGTTCCTTGGGAACTAGAGGTCAGGGCAAGGAGGGGGGAGTGAGGGGAGTCCTGAGCAAGGTGGTGGCCACCATCTGATGTGGCCACTTTGCGCCTGCCCCTCTCTGCAGGCCCCTGGCTGCTGACTGCATCCGCCTGCTGCCACCTGGGTTTGTCTGGAGCTGCTGGGACTGTCCTGGGATCCAGCCTGCTTGCCCCCTGAGGCCGGAGAGATGCTCCCATTGGCCAAAGCCCTCGCCTCCCCCAGGAATCCCCAGACCCCCGCCTTGGGGGAGCAGGACGGGGCTCCTCAGCCGGCCAGCCCCGGGGATACTGAGGCCTGGCGCCTGCGTTTCCGACAGTTCCAGTACCGCGTGGCAGGCGGGCCACACCGTGCACTGGGTCAGCTCTGGATGCTGTGTCGCCAGTGGCTGCGGCCCGAGGCGCACTCCAAGGAGCAGATGCTGGAGCTGCTGGTGCTGGAGCAGTTCCTGGGTGCGCTGCCCAGCAAGATGAGGACCTGGGTGCAGTCGCAGGGCCCCCGAACCTGCAGGGAGGCCGCTACCCTGGTGGAGGACCTCACACAGATGTCGCAGCAGGAAGGTGAGGGGACGGGCCTCATCCCTAAGAGCGAGTGGCTGCCGGGGGGAGCAGGTGCCGGGTTTGGGTTCTGGCCAATGTCTCCATGGCCCGGTGCCCAAGGATCGCGCTTCTTTTTCCTTTCGGACTCAGAGTGTCGCATCCACCCGCACTGCTCCCACCCACCCCCCACCCGCTCCTGTCCCGTTCCCTCCCCCGACAGCGGCGCCCCAGGCCATCCGAGCAAACCCCCTGCCTGCAATGTCCACCAGTGCACATTGTCGTACACACACGTGTGTTTTTCTTTGTTTTACATAAATGTCATTGTGCTGCACGCCTCTGTCTGCCTCACTTCTCTCGCTCAGCGGGTAGTTGAGGATTTCTCCATTTTACCATGTGTCCATCTGGCCTGTGGCTTTGCATTTGTCTGCTCTCCCTCAGAAGGACCCCGGGCCTCTCAGCCCACACGAGGTGCTGTGAACCATGTCCCCCCACCCCCTACCCCAGGTCCTGTCGAGGAGTCCTGGAGGCTACCAGTCCTCCCCTGCATCCAGTCCACGGGGCGCAGACCCGTCCCAAAAGCCCAACAGCTGGTAATGGAGACTGACGCCTAGGTCCACAGTTGTCACAGAATGGGTGTTGCAAAGAGCTCAGCAGACAGAGGGGTCTCAGGTAGCTGCAAGGTCTGCAGGTGAATCTAACACCACCTCTCTCCCTCGGCTCCCCTTTCTCCTGCAGGGGCTTTGTCCTCCTGCTTTCTTGCCCCTGTGACCCTGTGTAGAATTGCCATCCTCCCAAGCCCCAGTCCCAAGGAATGGGGCTCCCTCTTTCCTAGTAATGTCAACAAAAGTGCAAACCCTGTCACATCTGGAGGAAGTCAACCCTCAGGGCCTGGCACAGGTGCTGTGATCAGGGTGTCTTCAGACCCTAGGTTCAGAAAAGCCTTGAAATCTACAGAAAACAGGGTTCCCAGGTCTCCACACTGCCCGCAGGAAGCAGGCTAACATGCTCGGGAAAGTTTTGCATACTGCATTTTGCAGAGGCAAGAAGAGCATAGTCCAAGTTGGAAGGCACTGATTGGCGTCATGGAGTCTTGTTCCCAGGTTCCTGGGGAATCATGAAGACGTGCAAGGCAGATAAAGTGGCCCTTGGAACTCACTGTTCCAGGAACCAAGGGGCCAGAAAGCTTTTGTGTCTGGCCCTAGGTGGAACCATACAGCACCCAGGGCCTCAAGCTTAGGAGGCCCAGGCTGGTGTTAATGCTTTGCTGTCACCATCTTGAGGTTCCCTATCATTTTTCAACAAGGGGGTTGCGTACATATTTTGCATGGAGCCAGGCTGTGGTCCTATGGACAGGGAGGTAGTTGGAGTAGCAGGTGGCTGGGCCTGATAAGGCATCTCTACCTGCATGTGAATGCCTGGAAGTCAGGGACACAGGCAGGAGGCATCTGCATGCTGCTGTCTCAAGACTGGGCTTTATTCCTTGGGAAAGGAAGCTCCTGGCAGTGGGTGTAGAATGGGAAGGAGCAGGAAGAGATGTGCACTGAGGGAAGGGAGCCTAGGGGCTGGCTGGGGCAGGGCTGTGGGTGGGGTGCCTGAAGCCCAGATGGAATCCAGCAGGAGCCTGGCTCTCCTCTTTCCTGTGGGTGGCCCTCTCCAGTCACCGTGGTGCAAGTGCAGGGTGAAGACAGACCCAATATTTCCACTTGAAGTCCCTGATGGCTGGTGTCTGGAAAAATAACTGAACATAACAAGTCTCTCCCCATCTTAGTCCATGGTGTATCCCTCCCTCTGGCCCAGCGGTACACCTGGATGCAGAGGAGTGTCATGCCCATTACAGCCTATTTATTGATATTGATGCTCTCAGGCACAAGAGGGAGAGCACTGGGAGAGAGAGCCTGCACCTGGGGCCCTGCCTTTATTGGGGGGAGGCTGTCTAGGGTCTCAGAGGTATAGTCTAAAGACTATACTGGCTAATTTAAAGCAGAAGAGTGGGAATTAGGATGTGAGTAGGGAGAAGTGAGTCACCCAAACTGTCAGTTATCTGGACCACCCACGGCTTTCTGAATGAGGGACCTCCATGAGTGGGGGCAGCCCAATTCCTTATCTGGTTTTTCGCTAGTAGCTTTGTCATACAGCTGCAAATATGTTTATTCCAGATGGAGGTCTTTGAAATGGATGCCTCCGCAATCAAAAGTTTAATGTCAGGCCCAGCTCCATGCACTCCCCACACCCATCATCCTATCCTCTGTCCACACAGCAGCAAAGGGAGTGATCAGCTCCTCCCATGTCAGCCCGGCAGTGGGGCTGACCCCAGATCCCTGTCCTGGCTGTGTGCCTTGATCATCTGCCTCTAGGGCCTCACCTCCCTATAACAGCCCTGAAGCCTTGACCCTCAGTGGATCCAGGGGTAGCCAGCTCATCATCTAGGCCTGGTTCAGACATCCATCCCTCTGAGAGGCTACCACGCAGGACCTCACTCATGTTCTCAAGGGTCCTCACCTCTCTGTGACTTTATAGGGTTTATCCTTTCCCTGTGTGTCTGTTCTCTGTCCTAGTTTATGTGAGCTTCATGAGATCAAGAGCTCTGCATCCACTTTCAGGTGGTTTCTGGAGACTGGATAGTACCAGACACCTAGTGGGTGCACAGCCAATACAGGAGGGGAAGGTGTGAGTGAACAGAAACAGCAGCAAGAACCAAGGATGGGCATTTGGCAAGTAGCAGGCACTGTTGGGTATACTGTACAAAGTAAGCGTCCAACTTTGTTCTTTTGCATGTGGATTACCAGTTGTCCCAGCACCACTGTTGAAAAGACTCTTCTTTCCCCTACTGAATGGTTCTGGCACATTTGTGAAAAACCAGTTGGCCAAAGATATGTGGGCTTAGTTCTGGACTCTCAATTCCTTTTAATTCTATATGTCTGTCTATATGCCAGCACTGTAGCTCTGTAGTAAGTTTTGAAATCGGGAGGTATGTGTCTTCCAACACTGTCCTATTTTAGGACTGTTTTGGCTATTCTGGGTCCCTTGGAATTTCATATAAATTTTAGAAGCAGCTTTTCCATTTCTGCAAAAAGAAGAAAAAAAGACTGTTGGGGTTTTGATACGTATTGCATTGGACCTATAGATCACTAAGTAGTGTTGCCATCTTAACGGTATTAAGTCTTCCAATCCATGAACGCAAAATGTGTTTATTAATAATAATAATCAATGATGTTATTTATTTAGATTTTCTTTAATTCCTTTCAGTAGTAGTTTTCCAGTTTTCAGTGTAGTAGTCTTGTATCTCCCAGGCTAAATTTATTCCTAAGTATTTTATTCTTTTTGATTCTATAAGTAGAGTTGATTCTTTTTTTTTTTTTAAAGATTTTATTTATTTATTTGAGAGAGAGAGGATGAGAGACAGAGAGCATGAGAGGGAAGTGGGCAGAGGGAGAAGCAGACCCCCTGCTCAGCAGGGAGCCCGATGCGGGACTCGATCCCCGGACTCCAGGATTATGACCTGAGCCGAAGGCAGTCGCTTAACCAACTGAGCCACCCAGGCGCCCTAGAGTTGATTCTTTTCGTTGCAAATGAAATCTTCTGAGTTTCCTTTTTGCGTTGTTCATTGATGTTTTATAGAAACAACTAATTTTTATGTGTTGATATTGTATCCTGTAACTTTGTTGAATTCACTTATTAGCTCATGCCATCTGTGAATAGAGATAGTTTTTCTTCTTCCTTTCCAATGTATTTATTTTTTAAGAGATTTTATTTTTATTTTTTAAAAGATTTTATTTATTTATTTGACAGAGAGAGACAGCAAGAGAGGGAATACAAGCAGCGGGAGTGGGAGAGGGAGAAGCAGGCTTCCCGCTGAGCAGGGAGCCTGATGTGGGCTTGATCCCAGGACCCTGGGATCATGACCTGAGCCAAAGGCAGACGCTTAACGACTGAGCCACCCAGGCGCCCTACAATATTGAATAGAAGTGGTAACAGCAAACATCCTTGCCTTGTTCTTGATTGGGGGGAAGCTTTCAGTCCCTCATAATTACGATGTTTTTATCATTAGAGGGTACTGGATTATATCAAATGCTTTTTCTGCGTCAACTGAGATGATCATGTGGTCTACTAATATGGTGCATTATATAGCTTGATTTTGATGTATTGAACCACATAACAGTTTGATTATAGTGTGTCTCAGTGTGGATCTCTTTGAGTTTATCCTATTTGGAGTTTGTTCAGCTTCTTTGAATGTACAGATTTGAGTATTTTATCTATTTTAGGAAGTTTCCCACCATTGTTTTTTCAACTATTTTGTCTCTCTGTCTTCCTCTAGGATTCCTGTTATGTGTCTGTTAGTATGTTTTATGGTGTCCCACGAGTCCCTCAGTCCCTGTTCATTCTTCTTCTGCTCCTCAGACTGTATAATTTTAATTGATCTATCTTCAAGTTTACTGATCCTTTTCTCTGCCAGCTTAAATCTGAGGTTGAATACCCCTAGCAAACTTTTCATTTTAGTTATTGTACTTCTCCGCTCCAGAATTTCTGTTCAGCTCCTTTATATAATTTCTCCTTATTGAGATCCTTTATTTGTTGAGAACAACATTCTCCTGATTTTTTATAGTTCTTTGTTCATGGATTCCTTTAGCTCTTTGAGGGTATTTAAGACAGTTGATTTAAAATCTTTGTCTAGTAAGTCCAATGTCTGCACTTCTTCAGGGACATTTTCTGTTAATTTCTTTTTATTCCTCTGAATGAGATATATTTTCTTGGGTCTTTGCGTGCTTCTTAATTTGTTGTTGGGAACTGGGCATTTTTAATATTTGATAATATAATGCAATAACTCTGGAGATCAGATTCTCTTCCCTCCCCAGGTCTTGTTTATGCTGCTTACTGTGGGTTGTTAAGTGTTTATTTTGGAAATTTTTCTTTCTTTTTTTAAAGATTTTATCTATTTATCTGAGAGAGAGAGAGTGCACAAGCAGGGGGAGGGACAGAGGGAGGGGGAAAAGCAGACTCCCCGCTGAGTAGGGAGCCTGATGCAGGGCTCAATCCCAGGACCTTGGGATCATGACCTGAGCCAAAGGCAAATCCTTAATTGACTGAGCCATTCAGGTGCCCTATTTTGGAGACTTTTCTAAACTATTTTTGTAAATGCTACGTTCTTTATTGTATGTGCTCACTTAAGTTTCTGTTTCATTAATTTAGTGTTTAGCCAGAGATGTGACAGAAATTTCCTTAAATGACTGGAGCTAACAAAACAAAACCCTCCTGGTTTTTGTAGGTAGGCTCTGAGTTGAGGTACTCCTTCAATGCTTAGCCTCTCCATTTATAACTCTCCTGAGCCTTGACTTCCTGTTACATGAGGCCTAAAGATCAATCAGAGAGGAAGGCTTGGGATCTTCTCATGTTTCCTACCATGTGTTTAGTCCTGATCATATGCATGGCCGCTAGACTCTCTGGTAAAGCCTTTATTTCCACATGTACCTCTTTCTCCAGCCTGTTCTTTCCTAGGCTTTTTTGGTCTCTCTGCTGTTTGCTCCATCTGTCATCCCTGCCCAGGTGGTTGTGGCTAGTGTATGCCTTCAAATGCTTTTGACAAATGCTGCTCAGGAGGCCACTCCAGTCCTGAGGGTTCTGAGAGGGCCTAACAAAGGTAAACCCCCGAACTAATCCTCCAGGGAGTCACCAGACAAACATACAAATGCAATGCTTTGGGAACAAGATCTGTCCTGTCCCCTGTGGCTTCAGCAAGCCACACCAATAACATGGACTGCCATTCACACAGCCCCTCCTAGCTGCAAAATGGGGTTGGTAGGCGGGTAAGTAAAAATGCCACAACACCTTCTAGTTGAAATTTAATAGCTTTTTTCTACTAAGCATTCCCTCATCCTTGTTTTCTTTTCTTCTTCTTTTTTTTTAAATCAGATTCAAGTTCCCAAAAAGTTAACTCTGAAAGTTTTTGCTGGCTTAATTATTGCTTCAGGGGAGGGACTGATTTTGGGAGCTCCCTATTCTGCCACTTTTGGCAATGTTATCTTTCTGTTTGCTTTTAAAAAATAATGTTATTGTAACATAATTCCCATACCATATAATTTACCCATTTAAAAAAAATGCAATTCAGTGATTTTTGAGTATATTTACAGAGTTTTGCAACCATCATCACCATCTAATTCCAGGACATTTTATTCACCCCAAAAGGAAACCTCAGACCATTAGCAGTCACTCCCCATTCTTCTCTCCCCACAGCCCCTGGCAATCACTAATCTACTTTTTTGTCTTTATGGATTGCCTGTTCTGTACATTTCATATAAATGAAATCACATAATATGAGGCCGTTTGTGTCTGGCGTCTTTTACTTAGCATAAGGTTTTCGGGGTTCATCCATGTTGTAAAATATATCAGTACTTCATTCTTTTTATGGCTGAATAATATTCCATTGGATGGATATACACTGTT